CATCTTTATGCCTATTCGAAAATTATGTCACATTTTCTGCATCTGAAATCCCCTAAATGCAATACAACAATGATCAATATTTTTTTTATTCCTCAACTCATATCCATAAAACTATTTATACTATATCCTTACACAAGTATCAAATCATATCAATATCAATCTATCTGCTAACATTTTATTTATTGGAAAATAAAGGAGAAAAGAAATACATTTTAAAAATTCACCAGTATTGAAGAATGAGTTATATAGTAAATAAGTTTAACATTAGTGCTAAAATTTAAAACCACTGGATTCTATTGAAAGCAAAGAAACACTTAAGAAATGCTAAAAACTGACTTGTGTATAAACAGTTCGATACCTCGAACTTACTCTGAACAAGTTTTAGCAACGAGTTATCGTTCATAACAGCGGACCCTAGCGGCAGTTGAAATGCCTACTCAATAGGATTAAGTTGTAATTTTTTAACATCAAAAACATTTCTCCAGTTATACGGATTTGTAAAAAAGACACTGTCTATCTGTATTTATAATTTATAGGCCCCCTTTTCATTGAAGTTCAACGAATAAAAATTCATCGATATTTATGTATTAGTATTTATTCACAAAATAAGAGAAGAAGACTGTTTCCCGTGTATCAAATTGCCTTACACTCAAGCACTAGTATATGCCTTTAATTAACAGTGGAATAGTTCAACAAGATTAAAAGATACGATAAAGCTCAGAAAAATATTTACGTTACCATGTTTTAAAGTAAATAAGAATTAAATTCGAAAGCTGATTGAACAGATTTGCGAGTGAATCTTTACTATGCAATAACTGGCAACATGCAGAAATTCATTGTTTCTTACAATTGTACTTTTTCCTGTAACATAAAAGCCGTGGTGCAAATGGATTGTGCATGCAAAGGTGTCTGAACATTTTTCTCACTCAATATCTTTTGCATCCTTGTGATTTGAAAATTGAATTGACAAAAAAAAAATTCAAAATAAATCGTGGTTTAATGATCAATGATTCCATTTTGAGCAATCGGTTAATATTGCACAGTTTAAAGTGCAGTGATTTAACGTTAACATTCGTAACGTATATCCGAAACAAAATTGTTTTGTGACATTTGTGACACGCATATATGAGGAGGCTATGATATTCAGATAATATAGTTCAAGTGTAGCATAATCTAACGAAGAAATAAATCTGTACATGATTTAAAGCTTCTTTTCGGTTTAAAATAAAAACTACACGATGATCGGCGACAGTAACGTAAAATTAAATTATTTAATATTGATCTGTGCTATAAAATGCGATTTTCTCCTTATAGACAAACAATTGTTGTATTTTAATCTACATCCAACATTGTTTCATATGACTGGCAGAAAATAAAATCTATTTGAAATGTTACTAGTATGTTACTTAAAACACGGTTCATTATTAAAAGCGAATTGAGACTGGACTTTGAGAATCAGTGATACGAGTATTATATCATTTAACGGATTCGATGCGCCAGAGCATGCTCTACGTATGAATAATTTCTAAAACAATGTTATTTATTGAAAAACAAGGTTATAAAACATGCAGTTTCGTTTAGTAATTTGTAATTTCTATAGTCGATACAGTTCCCATTTCAGAAAATACAATATTTCATTAAGTCAAATATTGATTGACGTTTTTCAAACTAATTCTTGGACCATTATTCATTTACTGATTTCCGACGGATTTTCCCTTATTTCCTGGTTTTGATACGGAGGTGTGACCGGTAGGAAGGGGATGCTCACTTCTACATGGCATCCGATCCTGACTGATATTGTAGAGGTCCGTGTTTGCTATGCTCCAAAATTTGTATCTTAAGCTTTTAATTGACTTTTGAGCTTGAATATTGTTCGTCATCCCATTATATTAAATGAATAAAAAACTCCAGCATAGCATCAATGCATTTATTGATGTAATTTAACAGCAAAATAAAATCCTGCAACATGTTAAAGGCTCAGCTATTGTAGAAACTTTAGAGAGTTACACATTTTCAGCCTTAGAACAATTGTATTCCATGCTGTTTCGTTTATGGCTTGTTAACAGCGCTTGTATTCTCTGCAAGAACAGCATTGAGGTAACAGCACGGTTTCATATTCAAAACTATGGTTGTCCGGACAGAATATCCAAACGTTGAAGTAACGGAATCGGTCAGCCAAACAAGCACTTTTTACGCCCCTTTTGTTGTCTTCGAGCAATTCCTGTTAAGTATAAACATAGCCTGCATTGTAATTTGAAGACGAGGGAAAACAGTAAGAATGATACTTTAACAGCTTCTTACTTTTTTGTCTGGCACTTTGCGAATGTTACACATTGCCGGGTAGGATACACAACATAACATCTTTTTCTTCCTCTCTTAATCTCTGTTGCATACTCGAATTTGATTGGACAAACGTTGTTCAGCCCAATATCTGTATATTTGCTGAAAAAAATGTTGTTTCAAATTAAAAAGAAAGGTGCACAGTCATGTATTAGAATATTAACGAAAAATAAATAATATATACCTTGGATCACAATCACACGATTTCTGAGCAAGAAACTTCTGTATTCCCAGTCTGCACTTGAGCGCACGCTGAATTTTTCTCCTAAAATATAATTTTAATTTCCATTTGAATAATAAACAATCATGACATATTAAGGTTGCATTCGAACACGATATGACGAAATCATTGCATACAAATTTTTTTTACAGTGGCTTAGTTTTGGCTTACTGTGTTAGAATGTATTTGTTAACTACCCTTAAATACCCTGACAGTGTAATCTTTTAAGCAACATACACTGTCGACATGATTCTCTAAGCCTTCAATGAAGACAATGTTTTGTATTTAAGGTCAGGCGACACGTTCTCGAATATCTGTTTTGTATCTCTTGGTATTATATAAACAGTATTCATATTTGTCAAACGCTTATGATTTCGACATTTAAATATAAGTACACCAAAACTGGTGATATAGGACATTCAGAAGATTACAATATACACATAAGGGTTTTATAAGAAATATGACCCTGTGGTTTCATGTCGAATTGCCTGGAAAGGTAACCTAATTTTCTGTGAGGAATCTTGCTTAAGTACCTATTTATCAAATAAAAATCTTAAAAATTATTATATTTTTGAGGAACGTGTCGATTGTCCTTTAGAATATCCGCTCCTTATCCAGGAAGGATAACTCTTATTATTAATATCAAATCTAAAAAAGCTCAAAATTAAGCTTAAATTGAATATTTTTCGTGGAACAATTTTCATTTTATATACATGTATCTCAGCATGTTTCAAGGGCATTTGGAAAACCGTTTGATGTACATAAAAAGCTGCATTTTATAGAAATAAAATTTCCTGTTATCTAGCCTTATATTTCGATACGATGTACCAGTGTTTATTAGCATTATATGATATTAAAATTGACCTGTGTTATCTTACAATGATAGAACATGCATTTTAAACTACTAGTATCTAATTCTTAACATTTGGAGTAAAAAGATGACCTAACGTACCGATTAAAAGATGCAATTTTTATTACAGGTCTAGTCGGTACTTAATTTTGCATTTCCCAAAAATATATTTAAGGTTTTAAATACTTTCTCCTATAAAATATGATTACTTTTAATGAAGAAATTGGAAAACATAACATGGGTATATATATACACTATTTTTACAATTCAAATTCTCACTCTTGTGAGTACGTTCAATCATCCAAACCCTGATTTTTAAGTCCTGAGAATCGGACCTTCTCAAAGGCAAGATAAAAGGGACAAAAATTTGTTTAAGGAACTATTAAAAATATTTAAAAGAAACTTAAAAGACAAAACTTTTTGAGACTCAAATATCAGGCAAGTGCACCTTTTTTTTTAATTAGACATCAAGGTGTTTGCCGATTCTTTTTCTGTGAAAATTAATTTTTTTTTATCTACTTATAAAAGTAATGGAAGATTTAAAAGGAAATAAAGTTATTATATTCATGGATATAAAATTAATGTAGAAGTTCATTGAATTAGAAGTCGAAGTTTATTTTACCATAAAAATACTTCAAAAGTCAGTTTGATTGATTTTTTGAAAAGAAAATATTTAGTATCATATATCAAATGACTACTAACTTTCAGTACATATTATCGATATAATTAACCAACTTTTAAAAACTTTATAACAGGATCTTTTTGTATACCAACATATTTAACTGTGATAAAATGTTTGCACTTTCATTTCAAGCAATACCGGTATTTGAATAGGATGATTTGAATGTTAAAGATTATTGAAGGCGAGGTAAATTCTGACCTGATTTTTAAAGATTTGGGCCTTGATGTACAAGGTAAATTCTGACCTGATTTTCAGAAATTATTGCTTAGATGTATTCTTTAAATGTTACCGATTACTAAACAGAAGATGAATTCTGACCTGATTTTCAAAGTTTGCGACCTAGATGTTGCCTTGATATGTTGCTTCTAATTGTTCAAGATTACTGAATACAAGGTAAATTTTGACCTAGTTTTCAAAGATTGAGGCCTAGATGGTAATTGATGTTAAGGATTACTAAATACAAGGTAAATTCTGACCTGATGTTTAAAGATTGAGGGCTAGATGTAACCTCCAAATGAGGCGTTGTAGGTTCCTTCTTCCAGCATTCTTTTTTCTTGTCAAATTCCCCTCTACCAAACTTTATAACATCGCACGTCTTTTCACCAGAAGCCCCGGATAAACAGATAACAAAGGATACTGTTGCGACAAGTAACCAAACGCACTGCAATAAAAAAAACTAACCCTGTTTATAGGATTTATAAACAATTTGAACGAAACTTGGAATTAATCTTAAAAAAAATAATAAAGAGACAATGATGTTTATTTGTGAAAGTAAAAAGATAAACTCATATTAATACACCGAAAAATTGAAATAAATCTTGACTGTATTCATACTGGAATAAGAGAGGATGTGAAGCAAATACAAATAAAACTCTAAAGAGGACAAAATAACACGTCCTCCACATTTCTTAGCAATTTTTATACAAAACCCCATGAAGGTACTCTTTAGTCAACAATTGAATATTATCCTATTTTCCTGAGAAACTTGCATTTGTAAATAATTCCATTTGTATACATAACTCAAATTCATTGCTGTTTGAAAGAAAGATTTTAAAAAATTAATTAACAGAACTAAAATAAGATACTAATTTAAAAGCTTACCTTCATGATGGCAGAGAGTCAAACTTGACGGAGGCCAGTGAAGTTTTGCTTTTCATCCGACGCTTTATATACACTTTTTCTTATTATATAAAAATAATTAACACTTTCATTTGCAAAACAGTCACGAAAACCCGTTTTTACGGTTTGAGTATCTTTGTTGGAAATCTTTAAGATAATAAGAGCACACATTTCATGAACTTCAAGGTCATCCACCATGAAACAATCATTTAGGTAACCTTCGCGAATTTTCATATTTACTTTTTTTCTATAGCACGATTAGATTGCCATTTTGAAGCTTATATTCAAAACAGATAAGTATAAAAAGTAAGTTGTAGTCCATTCATATATTATTGAAGATGTTGAATCAGTCTTAACTATTACTAATTTTTTTTGCTAAACAATTATTGGAATGGTTATTATATGCAAGCGGCTTTGGTTGCGTAAAAAGCATAGTTTTTTCAAAAGTGAAAAGTGGCATATACTTGTTAATGATATATAATGGAGATAGGGAACAGTATTTAAGCTCCAAAGTCCACCAAACAATACAAAATTGGAGCAGAGCTAACAAGGACCTACAAAAATTAGCAGTGGGATCATATACCATGAAGCATCCCCTGCTGATCGGTCACACCCGCAGTATGCTCCTCATCATGATCGGTAAATAGCGGAAAAAATTCTCGACAATTCAATGTTTATAATTACAAGTAACAGCTTTTCAAAAAGCTTGCCTGACTTAATCAATCAATATCTGTAAGAGAAGTGATAAACCTTTTGAGCAATACTTTTTTGTGTTTGAAATATGTCTTTTTATTTGAGAACCTTGTAAAAATATTTAGTTATTTAACTTGTAGAAGAGCGATGCCTTTGCTGCATTCTGAAGAATTGTTAACAGAATGGTTAATGTGTGTGGGTTTTCTGCCAATCGCAACTCCTCGGTCCCACTCCTCGGGCCTTATCTAGAGAAGAAGACCACAAATGTATTGTTAATTTATACGCCATGACCCCCCCCCCCCCCCCCCCTTTTAAGAGGATGGATATAACTAAATACACATGTAGGAAAGCATTTTCTCCAATGAAGTAAACAGTAGTAGTTTGTGTTCATTGATCTTTTTTTCTGAAAGATGGGTACTATAATTTTTTGAGAACGAAATAGGTAAAACCAACATTTAGGCCTTTGTGGAAAACAAATCCAAGATTTCGCACAGCTAGGTAATTTCTTTCGTCAAATCGTCTGGAATCTGGTTGAACTGCGTTCGTTTGTGGTGATTGGACTAGTCCATTAAAATTTGGAATAAACCAACAGAGGGGTAACAAATTAGAGAAATCATTTCTTTTGTTTTGCATGTCCATATTCTGATTCATATGTTGTTTTAAGGAATAAGATAAAATTTATATACAGAATTTCTGAATCATAAGAAGATGGAGGTTACAATAACAAACTTTATTTAATTCCATGGAAGTTAGCACCCCCATTCATACAATAGAACAATCCAAGAAAAGGCGCGAAGATCGCTTACTCGTGACAAGCGTAGAATATATGTTATAGAAATGTAGAAAAAAAGATACACGGACACGTTGAAACGTTAAATCACATGGAATAGTCTGTTTCATGCAAAAATAGTAAATACTGCTTTATTTTGCATCAGTAAAATCATTGTTTTGAAAAATGTTTCTTTTAAAATGCAGGTAAAAGATTTCCAATGTAAATCAGCTTGCACAAAATCTAGCTCTCTGGGTATAATCTATTAGTTTCGGATCAAGCAATTATCAATCCTTATACAGCCTGACGCCGTGACGTCAGGCAATAATGGCCTTATATTACAATCAGTAAAAAAACTAGAGCAAAGCTCGTTGCAAAGCAACGAGTAGGTCTTCCGTCCTGTTTGACCGGAAGTAGCTTTCATTTTTCACAAAAATGAGAAATAACGCCCAAAATGCTTTGAATCTTCTAAAGCTATGTTAAGTGATGCAAAAATAAGCCATTTTTGCTACTTCCGGTTTGACCGGAAGTGACGACGACGCACGGAAAATTAATTTTTTTTATCTCCCAGAGACATATGTTACACAAAAACTTGTCAAAAACGGCAAAAATAAGAGTTTTCCGACTACTTCCGGTTTGGCCGGAAGTAACAACGTTGGACGTATTTTGACGACTCCATTAGATTAAGCTTGGTATTTTCAACAACTTTGCTTCTTTGATGTATAACAAATTCTCAATACTTTTTGAGATATCTGGAAAAAACTTTTGGCCCCTCTAAATCCCTTACTTTAGGGGTCAGCCCTTTTTCCCACATATTCTTTGAAAGATCTTCTAATTCTGCACAAATTATGTTCTATATATTTTAATAAAATATTTTTAGTTTAGAAGATAAAAAGCAAAATATGAGTAATTTTTGTTTTTTTTAAGCGTTCTATTTTTTGACCCCTATATAGCGCCATTTTGAATAGAGAAATCGAAAAACAAAATCCGATGTGCACAACTTCAATCCTTCTATTTTCTAAAATCAGTAGAATTTCTGTTCCAGCTTTGGCCGTCTCTGAACCTTTGTCTGGAAACGAAAGCCTATAAATTTTCGTTTAAAGGGAAATAACTCAAAACCGGAAGTGACTTTTTGAAATTTTTGTCAGCATTCTGATAGAGTTTATAAACGTCTATAACATCTGAAAATTTGAGCGAAATCCGTTGAGAAATGAGTGAGATATGAGACCTCAAAGTTGCGGTCTAGGAAGAAGAAGAAAAAAAAAGAAAACTAGATACGATCTCGTTGCGAGCAACGAGTGGGTCTTCTGTCCGATTCTTGATAAGATGAGAAAATAGTTTGATTGAGGTTTTCATTCTAAAATAATGATAAAGATTGTGAAGAAGAACGATTTTGCCTCCATAATCTGTAAACAGACATTGAACATTAAGACTTGAAAATTCGACTTTTCGCCCCTCACGACCCTTAATATTAGAAAAAGAATCTGCCCTTTTTCTTCATATCATCTTTGGGCTCTCAGGATTTTAAACACTATTTGATTAACAACTATTAGGTGATTCTTTTTCGTTTTTGAGTTGTTTGCAAAAGAAATAATTATGTAATTATGTAACATACGACATTAAAATTACAATATATAGTTTTAAATTGTTGGGATAAACATTTTTGTTTCAGTAATGTATAACAAAATAGTAATGCTGAAGAGTTATCGATTAAAGACTTTTGGCCCTTCCCAGTCCCTAATTTGAGTGCCCAGCCCCTTTTTCTTGATCTCATCTTGAAGCTCTTAGGATTTTAAACACTTTTTGTTCAACAACTATTCAAAGATTCTCTTTCGTTTTCGAGTTATTGGCAAAAGAAATATTTAGGGGCCAACCCTTCAACTCCTTAATGGGGACGTTTAGCGAAAAATTAAAGATTGCATATTGTTTAGAACATTATTTTGAACATCTTTTGTTCAATATTACTTGTCAAAATATTTCCCACTTTTGAGCTATAAAGCATCAAAGATTAAGCATTTTGGCCCCTTGTGGCCCCTAATTATGTAACATACGACATTAAAATTACAACATATAGTTTTAAATTGTTGGGAGAAACATTTTTGTTTCAGTAATGTATGACAAAATAGTAATGCTAAAGAGTTATCGATTAAAGACTTTTGGCCCTTCCCAGTCCCTAATTTGAGTGCCCAGCCCCTTTTTCTTGATCTCATCTTGAAGCTCTTAGGATTTTAAACACTTTTTGTTCAACAACTATTCAGAGATTCTCTTTCGTTTTCGATTATTAGCAAAAGAAATATTTTGGGGCCAACCCTTCAACTCCTTAATGGGGACCTTTAGCAAAAAATGAAAGATTGCATATTGTTTAGAACATTATTTTGAACAGCTTTTGTTCAATATTGCTTATCAAAATATATATCCCTTTCGAGATATAAAGCATCAAAGATTTAGCATTTTGGCCCCTTGTGGCCCCTAATTATGTAACATACGACATTAAAATTACAATATATAGTTTTAAATTGTGGGGATAAACATTTTTGCTTCAGTAATGTATAACAAAATATTAACTGCTAAAGAGTTATCGATTAAAGACTTTTGGCCCTTCTCAGCCCCTAATTTGAGTGCCCATCCCCTTTTTCTTGATCTCATCTTAAAGCTCTTAGGATTTTGAACACTTTTTGTTCAACAACTATTCAGAGATTCTCTTTCGATTTCGAGTTATTGGCAAAAGAAATATTAAGGGGCCAACCCTTCAACTCCTTAATGGGGACGTTTAGCGAAAAATTAAAGATTGCATATTGTTTAGAACATTATTTTGAACATCATTTGTTCAATATTACTTATCAAAATATTTCCCACTTTTGAGATATAGAGAGTCAAAGATATAGCATTCTGGCCCCTTATGGCCCCTTATTATGCACCATAGGACATTCAAATCATAATATATAGTTTTAAATTGTGAAGATAAACATTTTTGCTTCAGTAATGTATAACACAATATTAACTGCTAAAGAGTTATCGATTAAAGACTTTTGGCCCTTCTCAGCCCCTAATTTGAGTGCCCAGCCCCTTTTTCTTGATCTCATCTTAAAGCTCTTAGGATTTTGAACACTTTTTGTTCAACAACTATTCAGAGATTCTCTTTCGTTTTCGAGTTATTGGCAAAAGAAATATTTAGGGGCCAACCCTTCAACTCCCTAATGGGGACGTTTAGCGAAAAATTAAAGATTGCATATTGTTTAGAACATTATTTTGAACATCTTTTGTTCAATATTACTTATCAAAATATTTCCCACTTTTGAGATATAAAGAGTCAAAGATATTGCATTCTGGCCCCTTATGGCCCCTTATTATGCACCATAGGACATTCAAATCATAATATATAGTTGTAGATTGTTGAGATAAACATTTTTGCTTCAGTAATGTATAACACAATATTGACTGCTAAAGAGTTATCGATAGAAGACTTTTGGCCCTTCTCGGCCCCTAATTTGAGTGCCCAGCCCCTTTTTCTTGATCTCATCTTAAAGGTCTTAGGATTTTGAACACTTTTTGT